TGTTTGTTTGCCCTAAACCCTAAACCCTAAACCGTGGCGCATTCTTAGGCAGGCTTGAGATTCCGGGTTGTGCACGCGCCAAGGGGAGGTTGTATGCATTAAACCTGGGCTGCAGACGGTTCGGGAGGTTGGAGTGTGAATTGCTTCCAGGGTTGTATGTTTAGGGTTTAGGGTGGGGTTAATGGGTCCGTCCGGCTTGAAGCTGGAAAGTCTAATATAAGAGCCCCGATAATTACCGTATTATTGTTGGGCAGGGTCCTTGTTATAATTATACTATAGAGGAGGCCAAAACCCTATTCTAATTATCATGGCCCCTGTTGGGTGTGTTGTTTGCCGATGACCTCGCCTAACAAGCCCTAAACTCTTAACCCAAAGCTCTAAGCCCTAAAGCCCCCAACCTACGCCACACAAACCACGGTCCAGGCCATGAAGCCTAGTTTAGGGTTTAGGGTTTTGGGTTTAAACCCTAAACCCTAAAGTTTAGGGTTTAGGGTTTAGGGTTCATTCCCTTTGGCTGGGAGCTTCGAACTTCTTCGAGTCAGGATCTAGCAGACGGGGTCGGACTCAAAAGCAACCAGATCCCTTTATAGTCTCTATATGCTCTATTGTAAGATACCACAAAGCCATGTTCTGAGTATGAAGGCCCCTATTATGTCAGCCCATGCTGCATGAAACCACAGGGCAGCCCACCGCAAGCTCTTTTTCGATCCGCTTTGAGGCCCCCTGAAGGCCCAAACCTTAAACCCCAAACCCTAAACCCGAAACCCTAAACCCTAAACCCTAAAACCCTAAAACCCTAAACCCTAAACCCTGGGATGTCCCTTCTTTGTTTTCTGCTGGGGTGTTTTGATTCCTCGGTGTGGGCCTCAATGAGGCAGGCTCGAAGCGCTAACAGTGTGAAAGGCCGTTGCACCCTAAAACAAAAACCCTAACCCTGGAACCCTCATCCCTGCAATTTTCGGTTGCTAGCTGTATACAACCACTCTAGAATCCGAATGAACACGTCTCGGACCCTGTATGGAAACCCAAGCTTTTTACGGTGTCTAGAGACTCTGGAGATAGCAGGATCCGTAACATAGTATGACACCGAGCCCTAAACCCTGTGACCTAAACCCTAGATCTCAAACCTTCCACCCTGAACCCTAAGCCCCAAACCCCAGACCCTCAACCTCAATGCGGGGGCTTGAGCGATTTACCGATACTTTGCCTCAGGGCTCCTCAATACAGTCATGCTGGAATGTACCCCAAAACCCGATTGAAATGATTGAGGGCCCCCAAAAGTGCTGCCCAAAGCGCCCCTTTTTGGGAGGTTCGGCAAGGAGCTGGTGCTGCTGGGACTCGTAGCCTCTTTGGATCCAGACCGCGAGGGCGTGAGGCCCCGAACTTGCTTTCATATAGGGGCCCGAGTAACTAGAATAGGGTTTGGGGTATATTATATTATGATTCTGATAGGGAACCCCAAAACCCTATTCTAATTATTAAGGCCCCTACATTAACCATTGGCATCACCCGGCTCTGAGGTGGCGCCACCTTAGCATAGATTGGTAGCCTCTGCGCGGGAAGACGCCCTGGGCCCCCAAATCCTAAACTCTAAACCCTAAAGCCCTAAAGCCCTAAACCCTAAACCCTAAAGCCCTAAAGCCCTAAACCCTAAACCCTAAACCCTAAACTGAACAACTTGGGATTGTTGGATTTGTGTTCGGGCCGGAACGGAAGCTTACACTCGGAAAACCTGCAGGCGGTCATATCTAGCCCTACCCGCCCAAGTCTCAACACTAAGCCCTGAAACATATGGTTTAGGGTTTTGGGGTTTAGAGTTTAGGGTTTCGGGTTTTAGGGTTTAGAGTTTAGAGTTTAGAGTTTAGGGTTTTAGGGTTTAGGGTTTAGGGTTTAGGGTTTAAGGGTTTAGGGTTTAGGGTTTGAGGGGAGAAGGGTTTAGGTTTAGGTGTGTCAGAGAGTCTAGTTTTATGCGCTTTGGGTTTCCGGGCTGGCGGTTTTTGGGGTTGGGGTTGACTTGCTTGGGCGGTTTTGATAAGGGGTTTAGGGATCGGACGAATGTAATTATGTTCGGTTATATACACCAAAACCCGAGTCTCATGTTCAATGCACCGTATTTCTGTCACGGTTGCCATGCGCAGCCAAGACGGGCGTGCACTAGGCTTCTAGTTCAGAGCTGGGCGCTCGGGGTTTAGTGAGCTTACGTATATGCGTTTAGGCTTGCAGGCTTGGGGTTAACCTAGAATCCTAAACGGTTGACGGTAAATCCTAAGACTCTTATGCCAAAGAGCCCTTACAAAACCGAGGCGAAGCTTCATAACAGGCCCCGGAACGCTAAACCCGAAACCCCCGGAACTCGAACCCCTAAGCCCCAAATCCTGAACCCTAACCTTACAAGGGAAGCCCTAAACCCTAAGCCCTAAACCCTAAGCCCGAAACCCTAAACCCTAAACCCTAAACCCTAAACCCTAAACCCTAAACCCTAAACCCTAAGCCCACACTATCTCCCAAGCCCTGAAGGGACTCGGTGGTCGCCGCCCGGGGCGCGGGCATTCGCGTGGCCCAGAGCCCAGAAGGGGTTAGGGGCCACGGGCCCGAAGATTGTTGAAAAAAGAAGCCTAAATAATTAGGGTTTAGGGTTTAGGGTTTAGGGTTTAGGGTTTAGGGTTTAGGGTTTAGGGTTTAGGGTTTAGGGTTTTTAGGGGGTTCCTTATTACAATTATAGTATAATAGCCTAAATACTTAGAATAGGGTTTTTAGGGGTTCCTCATTTTAATTACGGTAGAATATACCGTTGAAAAAGAAGCCTAAACAATTAGAATAGGGTTTTAGGGGTTCCTTATTTTAGTTACGGTAGAATGTACCCCCAAACCTAATTCTTAAGGCCCCCTATGTTAATGACTTAAGGTCTGGCTCTAGTTTTGGGGGTTTAGATACTTAGTAGAAGTTGTATGGGGCTGACGTCGGGGAGGTTTGCGCGCTTTTGTGATGTATTGTGGGTCTGTGTTGGGGGCGGGTTTTGCCTTTTGCCGGGGCATTGGGATCCCAAAGCCCCAAACCTCCTCACCCCAGACTCCGAACCGCTTGCGAGAAGGCGCTCGAAGCATAAGCCCTCAAAGCCATACACAGCCCTAAACCCTAAGCCCTGAACCCTAAACCCTAACCCCTAAACCCTAAACCCTAAGCCCTAAACCCTAGACCTTTAAGCCCTAGGTCATGATCACCGGCGACTACCTGAAAACGGCCGTGGCCATCGCCAGACGCGTCGAGATCCTACAGTCAGAGGCCGGCCTGCGGAGGTTTCGAGGGTTGAAGACAAGGGTTGCTATTTTAGGGGTTTTGGGGGTTTAGGGTTTAGGGTTTAGGGTTTAGGGTTGAGGGTTTAGGGTTTAGGGTTTAGGGTTTAGGGTTGAGGGTTTAGGGTTTAGGGTTTAGGGTTTAGTATAGAAGCTGGGGCTAAGT